TGGTGCACCAGCACTGAGGCTCCCCTACTACAAGCTGAATTCACCAAAGGGCTGAACTGACTAAGAGCTGAAATCACTGAGCGTTGTGTTAAGTAGTGGGGGAGCCTGAAGATATATTGTGGAGCAGTTTGCGGGACGGCTGGAGTGCCTTGTGGACGGGCTGGTGGAGCAGTTCATGGGACGGCGGGAGCTGCTTGTGGGCAGCGGAGCTGAGCCAAGCGAAGCAGTTCATGGGGCGGCTGGCGGAGCGGAGCGAAGGCCGATGGAGCTGTGGGGTGGTCAGCTTCAGATCACATAAGGTGCCCCTTACCTCTCTCCCCGCCCCCCATCTCCACCCAGGTTGGGAGGTAAAGCTCTGCAGATAAACTTTTGAACTCTGGGGCTCCCCTGACCAGGGAAAGAGACTTTTGGGTCATTGGACTTTTGGGACTTTGGGTGATTTGGGGTTGCTGGACTCAAGAACCAAAGGGAAAGGGCATGCCCCAGTTTGCTTGGGGTGGGGTTTTGCTCATGGGTTGTGTTACGAAGCCGGCTGGTGATGTTTCCCCAATATAATGCCACATTGTTTCTCTCTGTTATTAAAAGGCTTTTGCTACACTCAGACTAGGTGCTTGCGAGAGGGGAAGTATTGCCTCTGGGAGGCGCCCAGCGGGGTTGGTATATATTTGTCCCAGGTCACTGGGTGGGGGCTCGAGCTGGTTTGCATTGTGTTATTGGAATGAATCCCCTAGATATTGAACCCGGCCCTTGTTGCTGCCAACTCTGACGGGCAGAAGGGTTACATCTACAGAGGAAAAAGGACACTCAACTGTCTAAACTTCTACATGCCTCAAGGGGCCACAACAGTGGTTCCCTTAACTCACCCAACAATATTGTTAATCTGTCCAGCTATACTCTTAGCCTGGCGGAAGAGTCTGTCCTATCTCGGGGCCTCTCCTTCTGCCCCTCCACCCCCACGAACATGATACAGTTCTGTGGTGACCTAGAATCCTATTTTCAACGTCTCCAACTCAAGAAATATTTCCAACATACCTCTGAATAACATACTAATCCACAGAGACCTCCCTACCAACACTACAAAAAGAAGGATTCTAGGTGGACTCCTCCTGAAGGTCGAGACAGCAGACTGGACTTCTACATAGAGGGCTTCCACCAACGTGCACGGGCTGAAATTGTGGAAAAGCAGCATCACTTGCCCCACAACCTCAGCCATGCGGAATGCAATGCCACCCACAGCCTCAGAAACAACTCTGACATCATAATCAAAAAGGCTGACAAAGGAGGTGCTGTCGTCATCATGAATAGGTCGGAATATGAACAAGAGGCTGCTCGGCAGCTCTCCAACACCACTTTCTACAAGCCATTACCCTCTGATCCCACTGAGGGTTACCAAAAGAAACTACAGCATCTGCTCAAGAAACTTCCTGAAAAAGCACAAGATCAAATCCGCACAGACACACCCCTGGAACCCCGACCTGGGATATTCTATCTACTACCCAAGATCCATAAACCTGGAAATCCTGGGCGCCCCATCATTTCAGGCATTGGCACCCTGACAGCAGGATTGTCTGGCTATGTAGACTCCCTCCTCAGGTCCTACGCTACCAGCACTCCCAGCTACCTTCGAGACACCACTGACTTCCTGGGGAAACTACAATCCATCAGTGATCTTCCTGATAACACCATCCTGGCCACTATGGATGTAGAAGCCCTCTACACCAACATTCCACACAAAGATGGACTACAAGCCGTCAAGAACACTATCCCCGATAATGTCATGGCTAACCTGGTGGCTGAACTTTGTGACTTTGTCCTTACCCATAACTATTTTACATTTGGGGACAATGTATACCTTCAAATCAGTGGCACTGCTATGGGTACCCGCATGGCCCCACAGTATGCCAACATTTTTATGGCTGACTTAGAACAACGCTTCCTCGGCTCTCGTCCCCTAATGCCCCAATGATTCTATGTTGGGAATGGGCCACATCCACCCTGATTGAATTGGCTTTGTTAGCACTGGCCCCCCACTTGGTAAGGCAACTCCCATCTTTTCATGTGCTATATATTTATACCTGCTACTGTATTTTCCACTCCATGCATCTGATGAAGTGTGTTCTAGCCCACGAAAGCTTATGCCCAAATCGATGTGTTGGTCTCTAAGGTGCCACAAGGACTCCTCGTTGTTTTTTCTCAGAAATGTGTCAGCCAGTTCCTGAAAAAGAGCTAGTTGTGACTGTCACGGAGTCCCCGGGCGATGCTCTGGAACTGCTCCCCATGAAGCCAGGCAGGACTCTGGGGAAGTCTCCTTTCTGGGAGCAGCCTGTCTGCAGGACACACAGCTCACCCGGCTCCACCTTCCTGGGTCTGACCTCGGAGCATTCAGCCTCCTCTGCCCCTCCGTGCGCTTCCCACAGCGAGTCCGCCCAGGCGGGGTCCTGGGGAAGCCAGAGGGTCCTGCCCCGCAACTCCGCAGTCAGACGGGACTCTCAGCCAGCCAGTAAAACAGAGGTTTATTAGACGACAGGAACATGGTCTAACACAGAGCTTGTAGGTGCAGAGAACAGGACCCCTCAGCTGGGTCCATTTTGGGGGGGCAGTGAGCCAGACAACCCCGTCTGCCCTTCACTCCATGTCCCAGCCAGCCCCCAACTGAAACTCCCTCCAGCCCCTCCTCCTCTGGGCTTTGTCCCTTTCCCGGGCCAGGAGGTCACCTGATTCCTTTGTTCTCCAACCCTTTAGCTCTCACCTTGCAGGGGGGAAGGGCCCAGGCCATCAGTTGCCAGGAAACAGGGTGTTGGCCATTCTCTGTGTCCAGACCCCTGCACACACCTGCCCTCTAGGGCTCTGCAACGATCATACACCCTTACCCCACCCCCTAGATACTTAAGAACTGCCTAGGGGAAACTGAGGCACCCCCACACTATTCAGAGGAAACATTAAGAACAGTCCCGCTTCGTCACATCTCTCCCCCCTTCGAGACTGAACTGAGCAGGGTCACTTTAGCCAGTGACCTGGGGAAGTTCGACCCCACCAACGTTTCCATGGATGCTCCAGCATCTCTCCCATTCCTTAGGATCGGCTTGCATCAGCCCCACACCCAGCCCTGTGTCTGAGCGTCCATGAACACTATAAAGGCCTTGGCAAAGTCGGGGTTTACCAGATTTACCGGGCCCTGGATAACAGCCTCCTTCAATGCACAGAGCACCTTCTGGCACTGCTCGGTCCAGACCAGCTCCTCTGGCTTCCCCTTCTCACATAGCTTAGAGATGGGGCAGCTGGGGAGCTCAAGTGGGATACAAACTTCCAGTAGTACCCCACCATCCCAATAAAGGTCTGGACCTGTCTCTTGGTCTGGGGAACAGGCCACTCTCTGATTATCTCCACCTTACACTTTTCAGCTTTTATCGGCAGTCCTGTCTCCTTGAGGCAGCCCAGCACCCTCTTCACCTGGGCCACAGACTGTTCACTTACAGACCTAGCACGGAGACATTCCTCTCTCAACAACCTTGTCTCCCCAACAAGCTGGCCAAACCCAGCCACTTGGTTAGAGGACTGTTTAACTTTCTTAACAGCTTTCACTCCATCTGAGACCTTCTCAAAGCTATCCACACTGGGTCTTTCAACAGGAAAGTCAGTGGCTTCAGTCACAACAGAAAATTTCTGGCTGTTAGGAACTGAAACTTTCTTGATTAAATCACTTTCACACCCTTCAGTGGCAGTAAACTGCTTGCAAAGACTCCATGAGGATTCCTTTCCCGAGAGCTTTTCTATGCAACAATTCACCCTTCCCAGAAATTCTGCTCTTACCCTCTTTACCGAGGTCTTGCTCTAGAGGAACACTTTCCTGAGCAACAACAGACTCTTTTCAGAGTAACAGCCGTGTTAGTCTGTATTCGCAAAAAGAAAAGGAGGACTTGTGGCACCTTAGAGACTAACCAATTTATTTGAGCACGAGCTTTCGTGAGCTACAGCTCACTTCATCGGATGCATACTGTGGAAAGTGTAGAAGATCTTATTATATACACACAAAGCATGAAAAAATACCTCCCCCCACCCCACTCTCCTGCTGGTAATAGCTTATCTAAAGTGTATGATAATCAAGGTGGGCCATTTCCAGCACAAATCCACAGCCTCCAGAGGCAGGGCCAACCCCAGCCCCGCAAGGCAGCAGGGCCAGCGCCCATCCCTGGGGGTCGCCCTGACCTTCGGCTTGACAGTAACAGCAGCTGCAGCCCCTCAAACAACAAGGGGGCAAATACAGGCTGGCGCCTCCCAGAGCCAGGGCAGAAAGGCCGCCAGGGCCTGGCAAGGGCCCTTCCGAGCAGCCTGCTGCCCATGGCAGGACTGGAGACAAGAGAAACCGGGGCGTGGGGGGCTTAGGCTGGGGGGGGCTCAGGTTTGGGGCTCAGGCTGCAGGAGGCTCAGGTGGGAGACTTGGGGTGCAGGGGGCTCAGGTTGGGAGACTTGGGCTCCCGGCATTTGGGTCACAGGGTTTGGGCCCAGTCTGACTTGGAGCTGAAAGTTCAAAGGAGCCCAAAGCTGCAGGACAGAGACCCTCCCTCCAACCTGCCGGGATTCCCAGAGTTTCTTGTGCCCGGAGCCAGGGACCTCTGTGTGGTGCCAAGTGAGAGCATCCCTCAAACTGAACCTCCCCTGCCCCATGGAGCCTGCTGCCCCCAGGCCAGGAGCTCCCCCCTGGGGCCCTCCTGCCCCTAGAGCTCCACGCTCTGTATAGCCCAGCCGGGGTCCTCAGGCCAGCACCGCCCACTGCGTGCTGCGCTCACATCAGCCCCCCTGGCCCCACCTGGCACACAGGGGCCCATCCAGCGAGCGGCCAAACGCTTCCCACCAGCAGCCCAGCAGGGCAGGCGTCACATGGCTGGTCACTGGCAAACGCTTCTGGGAACTTCAGGTCCCACTGCAGGAAAAACAACTTGCAAAAGCCAGCACTTGCTCAATACCTGGCACTGCCAACGAGTGAGGTCGCTGGAGCTATAAATAGGAGCCTGACTGGGAGCCCCAGGCATGAGTCCCTGGAGGGAGACTCACCTGGTGTCTGCAGGTGCCTTCCACTCCCAGAGATGATGGGGAAAGTCGCCTTCTCCCTGCTCCTCGCCCTGGCTCTGGTGACCCTCGGGGTCTCCTCAGCGAGAAAGGTATGGGGCAGGGCGAGGGGCCGAGGGGGCTGGGCGCTGGCTCTGGGACGTCTCAGGTGGGGCAGGGCGAGGGGCTGAGGGGGCTGGGCGCTGGCTCTGGCCGGGGCAGGGGGCTCTTGCTTGGGGCAGGATGGCGTGACAACCTGGGGCGAGGAGCAATGGGGTCAGACACTGAAATGAGTCTTGCGGAGGCAAGAGGGGGGTAGGGACTTTCCCCCCTGCCGCGATTTTACTCTCAAGGGAAAGCAGCATCATCTCTTGCAGCAGCGTTTGGACTGAGCCGCTGCACGTCCCAGTGGGGAGATTCCCCCTCCCGCAAAGGGCAGGGACAGGAATGGCTCCGGGGTTTGTTGTTTTATTGTGACGGGAAAGAACTCCCGGGGTGCCCGGCAGATGATGGAGCCGGGAGCAGAATGTCGCAGTGGGTGGGCAAAGGGGCGGGGCAGGAAATGCCCCCCGTGAATGTGTGACAATGGGCAGTGCGGTGCTTGGGGTGCCCTAAAACCCAGAGCAAGCTGGGGGAGCCGTGTCACAGCCAGCAGACACAGCTGGGTAAGCAGACGCACAGTGTGAGGGGGCCAGATGCAGCAGGCTCGGCTCTGCAAAGCTCCCAATCTTCAGCACTGGGACACAAGACTCCCTTCGATTTGATAGCATGACACCCCCTTTTCTGGCTACTGGTCACCTTCAGGGTGTTTGGCACCAGGATCCTGTGGCTGGGCCTGTGCGAGGGTAGAGCAGGGTGAATTGGGCATGCGGGAATTCCCAGCCTGGATTCCTCCATGGGGCCAATTAACTCAGTTTCCCATCGCCAAACCTAGTCAATACCAGCTTCTTCAGAGGAAGGTGTGTGGAAGCATGGAGGAGGCAGTAACCGGATTAAAGTGCCCCAGAAGAGCTTCCGCCTGACCCCAGCAGTCAGGGGTGCACTCCTGCCCAGAAGCAGGAGGGGTCAGAGCCCTCCCAAAACTTGTATGTGTTTTAATCGTTACTGTTCTATTTCAGTCTGGTTTCATTCACCATAGAAACATCTGAGCCTTTTCTGGACACTGCTAAGCTTGTGGCCTTGATGAAATCATGTGGCAGAGAGTTCCACAGATTGTGCAGAGTATGAGAAAGTATTTCCTTTGGATCAGTTTTAAATTTGCTGCCTTTCAGTTTTATGTAATGTTCCTGTGTTATGAGAATGAGCAGCAGCACTCAGGAACCTCCTTTGTCCTAGTCACTATCATGTGTCCCTCTGTCATGTTAGCTCTTATTTGTCACCTCTCTGTCTCCCCCGCTCCATCTCTACCCATCCTTGTCACCCCTTTGCGAACCCCTCGACTCCCGCAGTGTCTGGTTTGAAGTGGGGAGGCCAAAACGGAACACGGGCTCCTTGGAAGGGCTTCCCAGGGATTTATAGAACATACCAAAAAAAACAATGTTAAGAGACTGGTAAGAAAAAGTCAAGCACTCAAAAGTTAGGAAATACCAGGTTGCCCAGACAACCTGAATTCATCCGCTCCATGCTACAGTCTCTAATTCCACAGTCACAGCCCGGCCCCTGCCCAGTCGGTGCACACAGGCTCATTGGATGCCTTGTTATGCCATATTTGCTTTTATGCTCGTTATTCCGGTGTGGCCCTGGGCCTCATTTACTGCACACTGTTTAAAGCCTGCACAGAACACCGAGCTGCTCATGTCCTCCTGGGTTTCTCGAAGTAGCTCTTCCTGGAGTATTTTAGTGGGTTACAAATATTCATGAGTTTCTGTTCCTGGAAATCCTTGGGAAGGGCTCTGAAATGAGCGAGGAGAATGCTTTGCCTAGAACATCTGCCTTATGGTGAGAGAAAGCGGCTCGAGCTATTTAGTTTCTCACAGAGACGGCTTAGCGGTGACTGGAACATGGAGCAGAAATCCATACGCTGGGCAGAGATTTCAGAACCAGCCAGCAACTTGATCTAGCAGCCAAAGGCAGAACAAGACTAGAAATCAGGTGTAAAATTTTAACGGAGGGGAATTAACCTTGGGAATGCCTGACCTAGGGACGTGGTGGAGTTTTAAAGTCAAGACTGGGCGTCGTCCTCAGAGCTCTGCTGTAGCACAGCCAGGAGGGACGCTCGTGATCTGCAGGGCCCTTCTGCCCCTAAAATCCATGGTATGAAGTGTCCCCATTTTACAGGTGGGGAACGGAGATGCCAAGGTCAAGGCCAGATCTGTCACAAGTGTTGGCTCATTTTGGATGTCCTATTTGTGAGGCCGAGGGTCTGGTTTGTCAGTGAACTTGGCGTTTGACAGCACTATCCTCGCTCAAAGCCCAGCTCCCACTGACTGCAGGGGTGAGCGCCTCGCGCTTCTGCAAATCTCAGCCCCATCGTCTTGAGTCAGGCGCCCAGAAAATGAGCGCACCGGGGCTCTTTGTGAAAAGGCTGGTGTAGGTGACTTGCCCAGCATCACCTGAGACCCATGTGGCAGAGGCTGGGACAGAATCTCATCTCCAGGGCAGCATTCAGCTTCCACCATGACACCATCCTCTCTCTTCCTGCAGTCCCCTGCCTCAGTCACTCGCACCTTCCAGCTTCTGCAACAAATGAGGCAGGGGTCCTACGGACCACGGCTGGTTCCCTGCACAGCCCCAGGTCAGCCCCAGAGCAGATCTGTACCGAGCACTGAATGAGATGGGTCCTGTGGGAAACTAGCGTGTGAGCTTGTAGTTAAAGACATGGCCCTCGCTGCCATGAGATCTCACTGAAGCCATCAGCTGAGCAGGCTTTGGAGAGGGGCTGAGTGTTCCTGTGGGTAATGGGAACAGCCGGAGACAGTGTGCAAGGAGAAAAACACAGCACAGGAAGGGATCTGACCCCAGAGCCAGCCATTCCCTGCAGGTTTGGGGCAGAGAATCCGATCACAGACCCATGCTCTGTCCCTCTCCTTGTTTGTGGGTCTGGCTCCCGTGTTCGGCGCTCTCAGGGGCATGGCCTAGGGGAGCATTGGGCCCTGCAGCGCTGCAGGGGAGGGACCCATCCTGCTGACCGTGTCTCTCTTTCAGTGCGTCCTGTCTGGACTGTGGAAGAATGAGCTGGGCTCTAACATGACCATCTCTGCCGTGAACACCGATGGGGGATTCACCGGTTTGTACCACACAGCAGTGACGGCCACCGACAAACACATCCGGGTGTCACCCCTGAAGGGGTCCCAGAAGCCCACGAACCAGAGGAAGCAGCCGACCTTTGGCTTCACCGTGAGCTGGACGTTCTCAAGTACGTGGCCCGAGGGTTCAGTGCCCGGGGTGGAGGGGAACGGAGGGGAATTCAGTGCTAACCAAGCTGAAACACTTCCCCGCCCAGTCTCTGCACCGTCCTCTGCTCTTCCAGCCCCTTAACGCTCAGCTTTGGCCAGTGCCAGGGGCTCTGAGCCAGAACTGAACAGACTGGAAACAAGATACAAATGTACCAACCTCAAACCAAAGGGCTGGGGCCTGGCCTCAGACCCATGGTGGAGGGCCCATTGCTCACCCTGGGCTGTGTCTCCAAGGCCATGTAGTCAGAGCTCCTGGGGTCCATCCTCGGCTCTGCCTGGGACTTGCCGAGGGCTCTTGGGCAGCTTCCCCATCACCTCTCCACTTGCCTACGGGGACCCTTGGGGGACCCACCTCCCCAGCTGGGTGCGAGGCTTCAAGTGCTCTGGGGACGAGAGGCCCTGGGGAACACTGCGAGCTGCTTTGTCTCCTCCCTGGCTTGTCCACGGCAGCCTGCTGGGGCTGCTGCCAGAGCTGTGCACGTCCCAGCACCGGTGTTGCTGTGAACTGTTAGTCACTGTCTGTATTAGGTAGTGCCAAGGTCCCTGTGGCGCTAGGCGCTGTACAGACCCAGCCCCTGGCTCAGCGCTCAGCCATCCCGTGCGCACAGGGCACTTGTCGGCCTCCCCAGGCTGGGTGCGAGGCCTTGCTCAGCAGACGCGCTGGGAACCATTACTGGGAACCGCCTCCTGGGGGGCTCCGAAGCAGCGGACAGAGGGTGGGGGCAGCAGGAGCATGTCCCCCTGCAGACGCGGGGGCTGTGAGACACAGGGGTGGCGGGGGAGCCTGGAGGAGGGCGTGCAAACTGGAGCCATCCAGAGCAGACTGAGGGGTGGGGATGGAGCCTTAAGGCTCATGGGGGGTGGGGGGAGGGAGGGAGGAGAAGCAGGAGAACCTGAAGCAGGAACTTCCATTCAGCACCTGCCTCCAGCCCCATCCCATTAGTCTTCCCCATTCCCTTCTGCCCCTCCCCGGCCCCTATCCCCCGCTTCCTATCCCACCCTTTCCTCACCCTGCCCCATCCTCATCTGCCCTCCTGACCCCTCTGCCCCCTCCAGCCAACTCTGCCCCCTGTCCTGCATCTCTTCACCCCTCTGCACTGCAGACAGGCTGCGCCCTCTATCCCTCTGCCCGGCCTGGGGAAAACAGGGGGCCAGTGAGCGCACAGGAAAGGCAAGTTCTCGCTCTCAGTGCTGGGGCCCAGGACCAAAGAGGCAATTGCAGGGAAAGTCCCGCTCAGCCCCACGCTCAGGGAATCTTGGGGGCACTTAGCTGACAAACTCTAGCAAGTGTCTACGGAGCATGTGTGAAGGGAGACTTTTCAGGGACTTGTAACTTGCCCAACTTGGGGCTGGCCAAAGGCCAGTCTCCCCCACTGCCAAGTGTTGAGTCCCAGCTCAAGCATGGGGCATTCAAACTTCCCAGTGAGAAGGTGGTATGAATTTTTTAACATGGCAAAATTAACGTATTTTCCCCCAACCTTGTTCTTGGAAATGGCTGAACCATATTATGTTAAGAAGTAAAAGAACCCCAAACCTCAGCAGCCTGAGGCAGATGTCTGGCATGGGAAACTTCAGCTGAACTGTTGAAATGAGGCAAGTTATAACCAACTGAGAACAGGGTCTTCTAATGGAAAACTTTGGGCACCCTTAACTCTCGGTGCTGCTGCCAGCTCCACCGATGCCTGACTCTTTCTCCTGTTCTGTAGCGGTTCCGTCCACTCCAGTCGTGCTTTAAGCAACTCCGCCTCCTTCCCTGGGCTCTGTTTCTCGGGGGCCTCGCTGACTTTCACTCCTGTCGGGTTCCCCTGCAGACTCAATGACCGTCTTCGTGGGCCAGTGCTTCATGGATGATAAAGGGAAGGAAACTCTGAAGACCATGTGGCTGCTGCGAGAGGAGGTCAGCTCCCCCGGCGCCGACTGGAAAGCGACCAGGTGGGTGACTGGGCACCGACTGCCCAGGGGTGAAGGACTGGAGCGGGGACTGGCCCCGTCTCTCTGCCAAGGGCAGGGCTGGGATCCCGGCTCTGGTCCAAGGGCTCCTAGCGCTGGAGATGTAGGAAAACCAGCCTGCGGGGACAGGGCATGGCTCTCAGCC